AAAATGCTTTATATTATAGCAGCTCTGCTTTAGCTATTTTAGCAATTAATTATATAAATAGCTATTTAGCTATTGGACTATATTAATATTCAAGGAATTGGCTTTCTGCTTTTATAAAGTGTTTTTAATAGGATTTTAATAAGAGTTATAGCTTCTTTAATTGCAACTAGCTTTATTATTATACTGTCAGTACTATCTTTTAATTTAATTTATTAAAAGAGAATAAATAGTAATATAAGCTTTTTAATGTATATAGCTACTTTAATTCCTACTTGCCTATTAATAATAAAGCTGTTAGTAAAAATATTTAAATACTATTCTTTTATTTTAAAGTAGTTTTTATATACTTTATTAGAGCTGTACTAGTCGAACTTGTAGTTAATTATTATTATGCTCTATGGAGCTACTTATACTAAAATGGTTTCAATATTTATCTCTAATTTACTTAACTATATTTCTATATAATAGAGAAAAGAGGTAAATAACTTTATTCTAAGTTTCTTAACTAGTTTTTTAAGCTGTGCTTTTAGCAGGTTAGTTTCTAATAGCGTGTAGAGCCCTATCTAGAATTTGCTAATTTTAAACCGAAGCCGAACCTATAGCAAAGAAAGCAACGCTTTAGCGCTAAACGCTTTAACCGATATTATATAGAAGCATTTAACTATTGCTTAAGCTTTTATCCGCTATATAGAATTAAGGATTTTAGTAATACAGTTGTCGATTTTCCTATTAAGAGATCAAGAGTATTATACTATCACTGCGTAGTCTGTTTTAAAAGCTACTATAGCTTAGTAAAATTATTATACTGCTTATAATCTAATCTAAACGAGTCTTTTCAATTGACTAGCGCTTCTCTATCCTCTAGTTTTAATTTTAGCTAAGTGATTCTTAAACTATAGTTTAGAGTCGAAGATTATCTCTAGAATCCTTTCTTTTATTAAGAGTTTAACAACATAGTTGCCTACTTGTAATAAGAAGTCTGTTTTGCTAATCTTCTTTCAATTCCGTATAAAATACATAAGAATTGTCTTGTTGCTTTTAAACGTAGCGTTGCTATCTTTTACCTATTAGAGAGCCTTTAGGATAATTTTGTTATTAAGTACTGCTATATTTCTCTTAATTGACTTTAAAATAGCTTATTTAATATAGTTATTTACGAATCTTATATTGCCTTATCTTTTATTAAAAAGGCGTTAAAAAAGATATAGGATTAGAGCAAGCGTAGATTTCTATAGAAGACTGAACTCAGTAAGAGTAACTTAATTTGATTCTGTTCTATTAATTAATAATATAGTAAGTTAGTCAATATAACAGGAATTGACCTATATAATTACGTAGGCTAGAATTCCCTCTATTTATAGCTGACTTATAAGCACTTATTAGGAGACGCTATTATACGCTTCTTTTACGTTAAAGCTGATAAAAAAAGGACTTTCTTTTATTATTATACTTCGAAGATTTTCTTAATAAAAAAAAGCAACGCTTAATTACATAATTATTATAGCTTAGCGCCGAATTGTATTTTTAAAAAGAGATCAAAAGTCTCTGCCTAGTATAATATTCTTCTTACTAATACTAGTTCTATTAGTTTGCTTAAAGTAGCTAAAAGGGAGATAGGGCAGTATGCTTTTACTATATAGTAATTAGGTTTCCCTAGCTTTTATAATAATAGGGTTTGCGCTATTTTTATATAGATAATATGTATTTTAGTTAGTATAATATATTGAAGATGTAACTTAGTTATTTAGAATAGATTATAAGCGTTTTTACGCAATGTTTAGGATACTGTTTATACCTAGCGCTTTATATAGACTAATCTTAGCTATTACCCTAGTTACCTTTTTAATAGAGATATCCAGATTGTTTATATGCTTTATATTAGGGTTCAGCGCGTCCTCTTTCTAGCTTTCTAAAACTAGTAGAAAGAAGCATTAGAGTAGTTCAGTTGCTTTAATATTATTGCTTTCAAATTCTATCTTTTAGCCTTTAATACTAGTAACTATAATAGGGATATTGCTAAATGCTGACAATTATAGGTTAAAGTACCTAGCTGCTTTCTAAATATTATTTATCTATATTAAGAAGTTGTTTTAATATAGTCGCTTTTTGTTATAAATACTTTTATAAAATTAATATTTAGCTTGCCTAGCTTAGTATTAACTTTCTTTCCTATTAAGCTTTATTGCCTATAGTGCATTGTTCCAGTTTTGTTATTATATATATTCTTTATAGAGCTTTGTAAGCTTATTATTCTATTATGCTTTTATATATAGGGATTCCTTGACTACTAGGCTATAGTCCTATATATATTAGTTTACTGTGTTCTGGATCTCTATAACTGCTTAATTAAGTTTAGTTATATTATCTATATTAGCAACTAATAATTGCTATTTTTCAAATGCTTTAATAGCTTTATCCTAATCTGTTTTTCTAAAGTTGTATTTAGTCTCTAGTAAGATAGCTATTATAGTTCTTTCAATTCAAAGCGTTATAGCTTTATAGTCTAATCTCTATTAGATTAAATAGATATTATATTTAGTAATTTGGTTTTTAAGCGCATTAGACACTAGTATAAAGTTAATAGTTATTTTAAAGCGTTTTTAAGGAAATGTAATAATGCTGCTTAATAAAGCTAAGAAAATATTATACTAATGTATTTATTAAAGTATTAGCTCATTTTCTCCTTTATATTATAATTGTAGCATATTGATTCTTCTTTATACTAAATTGTAGCAATTAAAGTTGCCTCTTATTATAATAGGGAGGTTTCCTCTATATTTCCTTTTAGCTTTATAAATAGTGTTGCTTAATGCTATAAGTTTAGAAGTACTCGACTCCCCTAATTCCTGCTTAGAGAGGGCATATTAGCTATAGCCTAGGATATAGATTAACATAACGAAAAGGTGTTCTATTAAGGTAATAATAACCCTTATAGTTATATTTAATAACTATATAGGGAATTGGATAAATAAAACGTTATTATAAATATATAATAGTAACTAAAACGCGTAGTGCGTTAGTCCCTCTTATTAAATAGATAATATTATAGTAGTCTAGTATTAATATTAGGAAATATATAGCTTGCTATTAATATTAGCAATATTTAGTTTAATAATTATAATTGCTACAAAGTGATTAATAGATTGGTTATTAAAGAGGCTAAGTTGAACTAGGGATTATCTATTTACGTTTGCTAATAGGAAACTAGTATCTCCTATTATATGTTGCTTATAGTGACTTCCTATTTAGTTCATTAGCTAGTAACAGTCTGCTATTCTATATCTTCATTATAAGTAGCTTAGCTAATATGTTATCTATTTTTACAGATTCTATTTACCTTATTATAATATATAGCGTATTCTGCATTTATAGCTATATATAGTCTATTATATACTACACATTTAGGAGCTATAGCTTTATAATTATTAATTTTATAGTTCTCTATGCATTTACTACATTTTGTTAATTAGCTGCATCTAGCTTAATAATAGCTGTATTTATTGCAGTTATAGTATTTTTAAAAGCGTTAATGCTTTTTATATTTACTAATCTACGCTATGTTTCCATTAATCTTAACCTATTATTTAGAAAGGGCTTGTTAAGCATTTTTAGCTATAGTTAAGTAGACTACTATTAATTTAGCCAGTTTTTCCCTTTTAGATAACTAGAATGCCTTAATAGTATTTATAAACTTATTTTTAGCTATAAATATTATTAAAAACTCTAAATAGATTATTCTAGTGCTTAATACTAGAACTGCTACTTTAGAAGCGTTATTAACTTTAATTAGGAAACAATTCTCTTTATAAGTTTTAGCTATATTAAATACTTAATAAACTTATCTATTATTTAGCTATAATTGTGCTACGTTTTTTCTATTTTAGATAATAATTTTTATAAATCTTGCTCTTATCTAAATTCCTTTAATAGTAATTACATTTATTAATAGCTAGGATGCAATTGCTTCTTTAATTTTCTTTATTATAGCTTTGCTATTTATAGCTAGCTTATATTATTTAGCTAGCATCTGGCTAATATCAATTATAACTTTTAGAAATTGTTGTAGCTTCTTTAAAAAAGTTAGCAGAGTTAATAGCGTTCCCTTTCTTATAGGAGATTAAGTAGCTAATAATAATAGGTTAATTAATCTTAATATTGTAGAAGCATATAAAATTAGTAATAATACTGCTATATTAGAGTTAGCTAAGGACAATAGGCTTAACTATTTAAAGGTTAAGAGGACTGTTCTTCCTTTATTAACGCTAAAGCTGATAGTCCTAATCTCTATATTAAAGACTTTAATATTAGCTTTTAAATTTACTAGTTTAATGCTTATTATTTTAAACTCCTTTTTAAGCTTTTTAATTTTTATAAGCGTGCATTTAAGTCTTATTTTTATAATATTAAGCTTCGCTTTAGCTATATTAAGTTTTTTTATAATAATATTAAGTAATACTATTAGAATAATATTCTTCTAATAAAGAGCCTTATTCGGAGTCTTAAGGATCTCTATCTAATTTTAGAGAGTCTTATTCTAAATTTTAAATTGCTTAAGCATTTTATTAAGTTTATTATTCTAAGCGTTTACTGCTTTTTTAATAAAATATTTTATTATATCTTTATCGAAAATAGTGTTATTACTTAGGCTAAGAGAGCGGATAGGCTGAATCAGTTCTTTACCTCTCTATTTAGTATTTCTAGCTCTTCTTTAAGCTGTTATAGCAGTAATAAGTCCCTTTAAGAACAATGTTAATATGACTATAGTAATAGCATTACTAGGACAGTTAGGCAGCATCCTTTTTCTCAATTAAAATCAATGGGAGTTGGATAGTCCGACTTGTTGAGTCGGCTTGTAGATAAAACTGTCAATAAAATGATGAATATCGATAAAAAATATCGATAACTAGCTAGCGGTAGATAGTAGTTAAAGTCCAGACGAAGCCCCTCCCTCATGCACCATCAGCCCAACTAATAATGACATCAAATTTTTCTACGTAAATGGCCGCGTGGCCCAATGGCAAGGCGCTTGACTACGATTCCATTAGGAATCAAGAGATTCCAGGTTCGGCCCCTGGCGTGGTCATGTTTTTGGTGATTTTTTTCTGCTTTTTTTTTTGGGTTGCCTTTTGGGGGTGGGTGTATATGCACGCATGCTGCTTGCTTATCACCAGTGTCTTTTAACAATTTTTGCCATCCGAAAATGACAGAGAAAAAAAACATCGATGCGGCAATACATAACGTATGAATGTGCCAACGGTTTCAAGGTTCCAACAAGTTCTAACATTTTTGCACTTTATGAATACTGCTAGCAGATGGATGATTCACAAGTCACAATCAAAATCACAGTAGCACGTGCAAGCACAAGGTATTTAAAATGCCAAGTTCAATTTGTCGTCTTCTCTCCCGTCTTCTTCTCATGCTATGGTAAAATCATGCGTGACCATGCTTCGTCATCATAAAATGCATATATGCTTCTAGCCTGGTTGCATGGCAGCCTCCTGTCGCCACTTCGTTTGTGCTCTGCTTAGTCTTCCAACCACACGCAATCCGTCTAGGCCATATCCAAGCACCATGCGCGAGCGGAGATATCAATGGCCCGTTGAATGTGGTCGAATGCAAAACCGCTGCTGAAAGTTCCCCTCTTCCTCAATGTAACATCACATATGTTGAAACAGGCGTATTTCAGCACTGCTCAAACATACATACATGCACAGGGGCACAGAGTCAGACCAATCTCATGGTCTATAAACGCCTCTTTTAAGTGAGATGACTGTGACCGGGTCATAAAAGGGAGCTCTCACTCGGTAAGACTCTTGATCTCTGCAATTTGGCGAGAAAGACCCGAGACCTTGCGCAGGGCAGGGTCTTGCGGGTTCGTCTCTGCAATCTGCATGTATGCACCTTGCATACGCTGTTGCAGGACATCCATGATCTTGGGTGCCACCTCACGAATCTCGGGTTCCTGCCGAGGGTCAGTACAATGTTGAGCCGGTCGGGCAGCGATGAAACGAACCTGAAGATCGATGGTAGACAGCACATTGCCCAACCATTCGAGACGTTCGTAGATATTCTTGTCAAAAGACGAGGTCAAAGCTGCAGAGACAGACAGGGAGACGAGAGGGCTGAGTCTTTGGAGATACTGCGGATTAACGCGGACAAAAAGCTTGTCGAAGAGCTCGCCCTGACGTGGAGACTGCAGCCACTTGATGGTAGCCTCTTCATAGCTTCCAGCGTGCATCATTTCCTCAACAACAGTCACTTCCTCGTCCTCAATAGAGCGATGAACGATCTCGGGCGCAGCGGCGGGAACAACAGACACAACCGAAGCAGTGGAGCCTTCCTGGGAGCCCGACGCAACCTGGCGCTGGAGCTTCAGTATCTGCTCTTGGAATGCAGCCTGAGAAGCAGCCATGCCATCGATGGTACTAGACAGTGACATGACGAGGTTGGTCAGCTCCGCAATCTGCACGTTGTCGTTCTGACGCTGTACCTGAGCTTGGCGAAGCTGCTCGGCATGGCGGCGCTCAACCTCAGCCAGCAGCTTGTCCGTCGAAGAGGCGGCAAGCTTGGTGAAATTGGGAACGATGGAGCTACGCAGAACAGAAGAGAAAGCCTGTTCAGCCTGAGCAGCTACCTTGGTGGCCGCCAGTTCAGAGATGGAGCGCTGAAGACCCTTATCCTGAAGGGCGAGAGCAATGGCAGAGGGCATGGCTGCATTTACCTCCTTGGAGACAGACTCCGAAAGGGTGGTAGACAGAGTCGTCTTCAGCTTACGATCAAGCGTCGAGGTGATCAGTTCGCTGACGACAGGCAAAACGTTGTTGTTGATGCTGGATGTCACGATCTGTGACAAGCTCTTCTCGACATTATCGGTAAGAGTAGCCGATACAAGACGAAGTACTGCGTCCTGCTTTGCAGCTGCAGCGGCGTCTTGCACGCGTCTGTCGTCATCCAGCTTACGGTAAAGTGCATCGAGCTCTCTGCCGATAGTCTCGTTGATACCCTTGTTGATGCTCTCAACATCAAGCGAAGCGGTGCCATTGGTAGTCAAAGTCGACAGAGGCGTCTTGTCGGCGGCGACACTGGCGGCAGCCTTGGCAGGAGATGGAGAGCGAGTCTTCTGAGCTGCCATGGCATACGAAGCTGGGGTAAGAATGGCTGGGTTGGTTGCTGGCTCGGCCGGCTTGACCTGCTCGGGCACGGTCTTCCTAGGCTTCTCAGCCTTTGCAGCGCCATTCACGGCAGCAGGCTCTTGCTTGGAAACAGAGCGTGCAACAGCGGCGGGCTTTGATGCCTCTGCCTTTGGTGGAGAGGCGGTCGATGCAGGCTTGGAGGAAGGCTTAGCGGCGGCCTCGTTTGAAGCCTCATTGGGAGCTGGTGCAGCAGCGGCACGAAGATCGTTGACTGTAATGTATCCAGCTTCTTGACCATCGACTGGGTTCAAGACCTTGTTGTCAAGGCTCCAACCGAGATCTTCGTGCTTGATGGTAATGGTGGTAACACCCTTCGAGTGCATTGCATAGAGCTCGAAAAGGGCACTCTCGGAGTTTTCAGAGGGCACGGGCGACTTGAGCATGTCCACACTACGGAGCTGGCCCTTGGAAGCAAAGGAAAGCTCGCGAATTCCACTCATAATAGCAGTCGACTCTGGGCGGGCCAGTGCTGGGTCTTCGGATGCGAGCATGGTAATGTACCTGGCCTGGTCCATGCTGTTGATGTTGTAGCGTGGGGCCGAGAGGTGGATGAAGTAGATGGAATTGCGTGTGGGATGACCGAGAGCAATGATACCGGTCTTGGGATGGTAAGCAATGCTGCAGATTGCATCAGAGTCCTTGTCGTGGGGGAAGTGAATCTCCTGGACAGGCTTGTTAAGGCCAAGATCCCAGAGCTGCAAAATGTGGTTCTGCTTGAGACCAACGATCAAGTAACGGAGAGCGACGCCCTTAACGCAAGGTCTCTCCTTATCCACAAACATGATGGAGGAGGGAGTGGCCTTCTCCAAGGGAAGGGCGGCAGTGAGAGTGAGCAAGGGAGCCTTGAGCTCAATGGGCTTGCGTGCACCGAGATTGGTATCCTGAGCGGCCTCGGCAATCTCGCGGATATCCCAAAACTTGATACGGCCGCTCTTGTCCAAAGAGACCAACAAGCTGTCGTCTTCGCTGAAGGCAAAGTCCTTGCCGGCCTTGCCAGTGTGGATCTTCAGACAGTGCTCTTCGAGATACTTCTGATTGTTGACGACGCGAGTCTTCTTGTCGGCGTAGGTGTTGTGACGGGCGACATATGGCGAGATGATGTAGATGGACTTGCCCCTGGAGATGGCGAAGAAGTCGGCATGACGGGAGCTCATCTTGGCCCTGGTCTTGACGGGACTGCCAGAAGTGTTATCGTCCTGGACAGGAACGGGTGGCAGGATGAAGCCTTGGGATTCGAGATTGTACTCGTCCCATGCGTCACCCTCGACCTTGACAATGTTGGTCCAGAAGACGGAGCCATTGATGCCGGTGCCGAGGATGGCCTCGGTGTCCTTGTAGTTTCCGTTGGCCGAAGAAATGTGCAAGTTGAAGATACGCTCCCCACTACGGAAGACCTTCTTGTCCTTGCCAGAGTCCTGACGGATGATGCGGAAACCGCCGTCCTTGGACATGGAGTAGACGATATGGTTGGTCGAGGCGGTGACCAGACTACGGTCAATCTGCTCAAAGTCTTTCTTAAGACGCGCGACGTCCATGAGCGAGTCTGGACGGACAGGAGTGACCTTTTCGGCCTTGTTGATGTCAATGGCGACAAAAGGCTTCATTGGGAAGTTGTAGACAGGGACAAGGCGGGCAGCGGAATCGTTGGCCGGGCTCTCGTCAGCGTCTGCGCTCTCCCAGCTGTCGGCAACATTGTCGGCAGCCTTTGGCTTGTCACCGTTTGCAGCAGAAGCAGATGACTTGTCCGCATTGACAACAGAAGCCTTTCCTCCAGCAGCGGCAAGTGCTTTTTCAACTTGCTTGTCGACTTTTTCGCCGATGCCGCTGAGGACTTCGGAGACACTCTGGTGACTGGCATCAAGTGGAGCCGTACGAGAAGCAGGCCGAGGTGCGGGACTTGCAGGAGCTGGCGATGGAGCTGTCGAGCCAAGTTTGCGAGTCTTGTGAAGAGGGCCGGCTGCCTCTCCATCAGCGCTGCCAGAGATGTCCCTGCCGTGCTTGAGTATTTCAACTCTTGGCGTACCGGTGCGGACATGTGGCTTGGGAATGGGAGTGGGAGTGGGAGTGGGAGTGGGAGTAGATGTTGGCTTGGGCGAGGAAGCCGAAAGCTGCTCGAAAGGGTTGACGTAGGTGAAGACGGGACCCTTCTTGGCCGAAGAGGGCGCCTCGAACGGAGTCTCTTCACGAGACTCTGCACCAAACAGTCTGAGGGGTGTGGCCTCTCTGGCAGCCTGAGATTGAGCGGCATCTGCAGCGTTGGCCTCGATAGTTGCATCTCTTAAACCCTTGACCAAGTCATCGACTACAGCGGCCGGAGGCTGTGGGACAGGCGACTCCACGGGATCAGCATCGGCAGTTGACTGCTTGGGCTTACTAAGGAGGCCGAGCAGGAAGTTCTGCGTGTCTGCGTGGGGAGAATTGAATCCATCCGGGCGGACTTCAGGCTGGGGAGAGGCGAGGAAGTTGCGCATTGACGAGGCAGACGGCTGCTTTGGCTGGAAAGAGGCGACCAGGTCCGAGGCCGAGATGTTACGAGAGTGGTTGGACGGAGCATACTGAGGCTGCTGAGGTGTTTGTTGCTGGGACAGAGCAGGACTGCGGTGAGGACCAGCAATGTTGTGCAGCGAAGCCAGTGGGCTCTGTTGCTGGGACTGCGATGTCTGTTGGTTGCTGCTGAATTTAAGCAGATTCAACAGGTTGTTTGCTTTTGGGTCTGCCATGGGCGACTGTCCATGTGGAGGAGGCACAGCGGGACTCATGATGCCATAGTGAGGGTTGGGTGTATGAGAGGGCGGCGAGAAGATTGGCGAGGAAACAGAGGGTTGCTGGTAACCTCCCATGTGTGGAGGCATGTGTTGGGGCTGGGCCCAGATTGAAGGGTGTTGCTGAT